CCGGGACAGGAAGAGGCGGGGGACCGCGGCGGAGGTGGTGAGTGCTCCGGGGCGCCTTCTCCCCGCGTCCCTCCCAGACTCGCCTCCGGGGTGGGTCTCCGGTGGGTTCCCTCGTCTCCGGAGTAGAGGGCGGGCCCGGCCCGGGAGAAACGTTGGCTCCTTCCCCCGCCGGCCTCCTCGCCCCAGTTGCGAGGACCGGGGAGCCCCCAGGCCGGCGGGGACTGAGCTCCCGGGTTCGAGTCCGCATCTTCACTTTGTGTCAGACCCTGCCGGCGCCGGCGAAGAAGGGACTTGGGTGGAGGCACTGGACCCCGGCCCCCTGGCCGGCCGGGGGGACCCCGGAACCCCATCGAGGAGGCAGGTCACTTCCTGCTTCCTGGTCCCCGAGGTGGCTTCGTGGCCAGGAGTGCGGGGACGCCTCCTCTTTCTCTGCCTCCGGCCTCGAAGGGTGGAAACTGAGGCAGATCGGGGGTGGGGCGATCAGACGGGGGGTTGAAGAGGGAGAAATGCTGTTCTTGACAAAACCAAACTTGTTTGGGGTTAGAGAATGAGGACTGGGGAGGTGAGCTGGACTTGTCTCTTGGTGGGAAACCCAGTCCCTTTCGCTAGAGGGGACTCTTGGTGGGGAGCGAGCCCCTCTTTAGCCCAGGCGACCGAAGCCTGTGGTTCTGAATAGTGGTAGTGAGGGGGAGCCGAAGCCCTTCCCTGGAGGTCGGAGAAGGGACAGAAAAGTGAAGCTGAGAGGAGATGAGCTACGTTCACACAAAGTTTTGGTTACTTTGTATAACACTTAAAAGTAATTGCCAACTTTTTTTTTTAAGACTGTTTCCGGAGCTTTCTAACAGCGTAGGCTTGGGTTGAGGGTTTTGTTTTGTTTTGTGGAGGAGCGCTTTTGTTTTATAGGTGAAGCCAACCAACTTGGTGTGAGTAACATTTTTTTTATACTGCAGTTCTCAAGACTGTAGGGAGCTTCCCTTAGTCACAGATGTAATCGTCACGTTAAATAGTAAGTACTAATTTTCATGGAGACTATTATAGGACTCAAGCAAGCCTCCCAACTTTTGGTGTAATGTGCTGATTATTAGGATGTGATGGAAATTAGGAAAGGAAGAGTTTCTTACAGACTTTTGAGCACCTGTGCAATAAACGTGTGGTATTTCACATGCTTGGTATGATATCTTGTTATGGTTTGATAATTTCCCAAAATGCCTTCTTCCAGGTGCAGAGTAAGAAAACTGAAGTCAAAGACCATGGGAGATGCCGCAAAACCTTATTTTGTGAAACGCGCTAAAGACCGAGGAACTATAGATGATGAGGATTTCAGAAGGGCTCACCCCCAGCAAGATTATTTAATAATGGATGACTATGTTAAAGGCCATAGCAGTAAAATGGAAAAAGGCCTTCCAAAAAAAAAATTAACACCAGGGAACTATGGGAATACCCCCAGAAAAGGACCATATGCTGTTTCCAGCAATCCCTATGCATTTAAAAACCCAATTTACAGTCAGCCCGCTTGGATGAATGACAACCACAAAGATCAGAGTAAGAGATGGCTCTCTGATGAACTTGCTGGTAATTCAGACAGCTGGAGGGAATTCAAACCGGGACCTAGAATTCCTGTTCTAAACCGACCAAGAAAAGACTCCTTTCAAGAAAGCGAAGATGGATATAGGTGGCAGGATGGACGAGGCTGCAGAACTGTAAGACGACTGTTTCATAAAGACTTGACAAGCCTAGAAACCATGTCAGAAATGGAAGCAGGAAGCCCTGGTAATGTGTTCCAACTTGTCAAGTGACAAGCCCAAAGTCGCAGTATCTTTTCTTTGTCATCCAAATGAGGTTTATTATTTTCAGCAATGCAGTTCCAATTTTTCATAGTCTCTGCTTATTTAATGCGAATACTCTTAAGAACTGTAATCTTGGCATTTGGGCAGCTTCAACACGTTGCATGTATTGGTCTCTTTAAAAGTTTACTGTGCCATGAGGCTCATTTTCCTTCGGTAAACATATTTCCCATTGGTGCTTTCTACAGAAGAGGGTGATGATATCCCCCTGGGGACTGTTTCATATTTTCTGAGTGGTGTGTATGTATTTTCTAAATTATGTATTGTAATTTTGTATTTGAATAGTGAATGTGTCCATAATATAAATGACAGAATATAAAGCTAAAAAAAAAAAAATCTTACTCGATGTAAATACACAATATAGACCACATAGATTTCCTGTCTCAGAGGATTATATGTCTTTTGGAGGGAGCATCGATCTCCAGAGGAGGATAGTCCAGGATTTTTTTTTTTTCTTTGCTCAACAGTGAGCTGCACGGCAAACAGACTGGGACACTAAGTTTCGAAAGTCAGAAATACAGATAAGTTTTGCCTTTTAGTTTCCGTAGAACCAAAACCCATTTCTAAGGGCCAGGTGTGCTTGATAATAATTGCCCCAAAGTGATTATTTATACATTTTTCTCAAAGGTGGATAGTAGATTTTGTCCATGTAGCCATAATTTCTATAAACAAGAAAATTATCTAATGGACAATAATTACTGAAATGAAATAAACTCATAAATATGAAGGAAAAAGTAAAACAGTATTTAGTCTGAAAATGCAAATTATGCCTGGAAAAATGGGCTTTTAAATTTATTGGCTGGGAGCCTTTTTTTAGTGACCATATAGAATGGGTGGCAAACTGGCCAGCACTTTAAAGTTGTTTGTTTGTTTGTTTGTTTGTTTTAAATTTAAATGCATCTAGGCAATATTGGCACTCTCCTAGGTGTCCAGAGGCCTTTTTCTTTCATGTTATCTCACAGTGACCAGCTTACATTTCTGTATTTTACTGGTAAGGAGTTTGATTTTGTGACCTGGACATGTAGAATACTTAACAGAGAAAATGTCACTTATTTTTAGAGGGTCTTTTGATAGTATTAAATGAGAGAAAAGGTGCTGTTTTATATTTCTTAAGGTAGGAAAAGCAAGAGAAAATTCCTTGTATCAAAGAGTACAAACAGAATGAGGTGTTACAAAGGAATCAGTCAGGAGAGAAAATCTTGGCCTCATAAATCTTGAAGCTAGAAAGGATGCTAGAAAGAACTTGAAGGTAGTGTCTGATGCAGTGCTCTGTCGTGATATATCAAGGTAGAATCACAATTTTGCAAAGCAGGCAGCTGTGGCTTGGCAAGGTTAAATTTATCCAGACTGATTATGCTGGGTGGTAGATGAGGAAGTGAACCTGAAATTGAGTACTGTGCTGCTTTGGCCATTAACGGCCTCACTGGACCTTGAATTTGACAGAGGGGAACGGAACATGTATTGATAATTTCTTGACTTTTGATTTGTGTTTTTCTTTTTAAAAGTCTGTGTACATTTAAGTATTTTTGTATTCCTGTGTCCAGGTAGGACATGGACATTTTAACTTAGTTACCAATAGTTTAAAAAAAAACAAAGTTGATCTTGAGTAGCATTATAGAAACAAGATTTATAGAACGAAAGTTTGCAACCAGACAAATACTAATAGGGACTGTTAACAGACTGAAAGCCTCATATATGTATTCTTGTTTAGTCTGAAAAGCAACCAAAAAAGTTGCTTTTAAGTGGTTTTGAACAGGAAGTACATACTTTTACTATCCTTTTAATTGAAGGCAATCCCCAAACCCCCATATTCTCTCCATATGAAAAAGAGGTATGTTCTTTCACATTTGCTAAATGAAGGACTGCTCAGCTTCTAGCCCTTGAAAATCTTCAGAAAGGAAATAATTTTAAGCTGTGGTATAAAATTGCTTACTGTAGAGAGAAATTCAATTTGAAGTATAAACTTTGCACTGCACTCAGGATCCTAAAAAGGATCCCGTTAAAGGGACTGAAATTTTCTTGAATCAGAATTATGTCTTAATAAGCAAGGGTCTCATTAAATGATGTGAGAAGATATAATGAAAATTATCTTAGAGTTGCTTTGTTTTTTAATGCTTATTTTCTATCTTTCAGTTCTATGTTACCGCCCTGTACTTCATCCCTCACATATCCTAGATTGCCAATGTAATGTATTTGGGACAATGCCATTAGTGATCTTAGCTGGAAAATATCCACTCAAATACACATGTCCTTTGTGAATGGAATAATGGGCCATATGCAAATAAAATGTGGGAGACTTGGAATAGTGTATATAGAGAATTCATGTTACAAGACACATGAGATGAGCTAGGTTGCCTTCCTCGAATTATGGGAACTCTTTAGCAGTACCCAGCTTTATCCTTCCAAGATTCCCGTCAATGAGATTTTACTTGCTATTTTTACCATGCAGTCCTGTGAAACTCAGTTCAGAAGGTGATACTGTCTTGTCAGTTACAGTCTGTTCTAAATGTGAATGGATATGGATTTCAGTAAGTTCTTTCCAGTTCTTACATTGTTAGATAAAAGGCTGGATTTCAGAATTCCATCCATGCTTCAATCTTTACTTCAAATCCTGTTAACTTTGATTTAGTCATGTGTCCCTGAACCAAGTTATTTTCTTGGGCCAGCATTTTCCCCATCTGTACAATGGGGATAACATTAGCATCTATGACAGGATCACTGTAGGGATTAAACGAGGCAGTGCACATAAAGTCCTTGCATTGCATCTGTCGCATAAAAAAATAGTAATGACAGCTGCTGTCATCATCATCTGAATTTCTGCAGCCATCCACTTCTCTGTATAAAAACAAGGAATGGGGTGCCTGGCTGGCTCAGTCTGTGGAGCGTGGGACTCTTGGTCTCAGGGTTGTGAGTTCGAGTCTCACGTTGGGTGTAGACATTACTTGAAAATAAAATGTTTAAAAAAGCAATAAGGAATTAATTGTACTCTTTGGAGGGAAATCGAAGTCACTTTGGAAAATGACAGCAAATAGGTGAGAAGCCTTTGTGATCAAGAAGGGAGGAGTTAAAGAAATTGGGTTCCATAGCAATTACAGTTTTGTAAGCTAATGTGGACTTTTCTAATGGGTATTGCACATATTAGTGTAAATCTCTAATGAGCGTCAAAGTAAGAAACTTATTATGAACACTGAAATCACAGATGTAATTATTTAGTGTAGACCTTGTAATGATAGGCAAATTACATGTGAATAGACACACAGCTAAGTTAAAAGAAGTTCTTGTCTCAGAAGTTTATGCAGACTGGGGCACCTGAGTCAGTTAAGCATCCTAAGTGTCCAACTCCTGGTTTTGGCTCAGGTCATGATCTCACGGTTCGTGGGTTTGAGCCCTGCCTGCCTCAGGCTCTGCACTGATGGTGTGGAGCCTGTTTGGGATTCTCCATCTCCCTCTCTCTCTGCCCCTCCCCTGCTCTCTCTTTCTCAAAAATGAAACTTAAAAAAAAAAAAAAAGTTCATGCAGACCAAGAGCACTGTCCTTAAAAGATTATGATAAATTAATTGGGAGTAGAGGAGTGTTAAGTATTAAAGTAGACTGATTTTTGTCTGCAAATGATACTTACCTTTTAGTATTTTATTTGGTCCATTTTGATTGCCTTTTTAAAGAAACTATTTGTCCTAATACTTTAATTTCTTTTAATTGCCACTTATACTATAGAAGCTATTCACAGAATTTCACTATATATTCACCTTCTGGTACTTTAAGCACAACGCTTGCTACTTTTTCTTTAGAGCTGTTCACAGTAGCTTTTTTCAAATTAGAGATCCTGTACCTCCCTTTTCTGACTCAGAATTTTTTTCAGTCAACTGATTCATTGTAAGTGCCATAGAAGAAATGAGTTCCACTGTAAACTTGACCTAGGAATTGGCTCATGCAGGGCTTTTCAGTACATTTCTATTTTGAAAGACTAATTTTTGGTAAGCCACTTAAACATTATTCAAACCATTTGTCACCATTTTAATTGGGGAAATGAGTTTTATTTTGATCATATGTATTACTGGTAGCTTCATTTTCAGAGCTTGATAGAAGTTATCAAAGCTCTTGAAAACCATTGTTTATAGATCAATCCCACAGTCATCTTCAGTTTCCCAAATAGAAAAGTTGTAAGTTTAAAAAAAGGAAAAAAGTTTTGTTAGTTACAAAGCTTGTAGAACTAACAGCAGAGTTTAAATGAATTAGTCTGTACATACAGAAAACTTTTTTTCCAACTACTGGTCGTTTTTCTTTGAAATGTGCTTAGTGTGCAGGCTGTTTAAAGAAGCTAAAATGAAAGTAAAGATAAGATGGGAACTAGTCCTCAGTAAATAAAATTTTGGCCTGGACTTCTTGTATGAATATGGGAGGAGGGCCCAATCACATTAACGGTAAATTTACAACTAGATGATGGATTTTCACTCCAGATAAGAATGTAGTTGATTTCTGACTTCTTTGGAGATACCCTGTTGTCCTTTGCTCTGTTGAGCTTGTTCACTTACAAAAAATGAAAGCACATATGGATAGTTTTCATTGGAATGGCAAGTATACTTACAGGCACACTAGAATATGATACATTAATATTGTAATTATGACAGACTAGGTATATTAGAATTCCAAGTATGCTTGCCTTCAGAGGATAATTTTTACTATTGCTTGAGTATGGGAGCACACCAGGAAGAAATGAGAAAATCACATTGGTTGAAATGGATTCTTTTTCAGTGTTCCAAAAAGAGGATTTCTGAGGACTGATGTGTCCAGATGAGGTGGTTAATGAATACTCACGCATTTTATCCATGGAAGAGCTTTCCTTTTGCTGTGTTCAGATGTCATTTTGATAATCACATGATTTACGTCATAAATATGTACAGTCTGCTTTTTCATCAGAGCAGTATTATTCAATATTGCCAATAATATTTTCCCCCTAACTTAAGAAAACAAGAAGCAGAGATCCAGACCTCGGAAGCCACGGAGGTCTAGAAATGAGGAAAATGAGCAGGATGGAGACTTGGAAGGCCCTGTGATTGATGAGTCTGTGCTTTCAATGAAAGAGCTCCTGGGCTTACAGCAGGCAGAGGAGCGATTAAAGAGAGACTTCATTGACAGGCTCAAAAGGGTAATGTCTTTTATTTGTTACTTAAAATCGTTGTCTTGGTTTAAACTGTGTTAGTAATTGGTAATATGTGCTTTGAGGAGTCAGGTATCCTACTGTAGTTATTAGTATTTAAGGACTACAGGTTAAAAAATAAAAGTGATAGTTTGATTTAATAGAGTTACTTCAAAAAAAAAAGACTATTAAGATAGTAAAGAGTGACAATAATATATTAACAGCTTTGAAAGTGATGGGGAAATCATTTCTGGCTAATTTTTGTTTGCCTGTATTTTGGAAGATACATATATATGTCTCTATAAATCTCTTTGAATTACAGCGACCAAGAAACTACCCTACAGCTAAGTACACCTGCAAACTTTGTGATGTTTTAATTGAATCCATTGCATTTGCCCATAAGCATATCAAAGAGAAGAGGCACAAGAAAAACATTAAGGTAACTTTAACCCAAACAAATATGTTTTACTTTTCAGTTGTTTTTACTTGTCATCTTTTGACTTTCCTCTCTTTAAGACTGTGATATTAATAACATGACTATATTATTGAATTTTATTTTAGCCAAAATACTTTACATTGGTCAGGTATGTTTTGCGGGACAGTCTTGTGAATTTCTTTAAGAACAGTATCAGGATGAATGAAATCATTAATAGGACATAGGTATATGCCCTTATGCCAGTCATAATAAAGCAAATAATTTGTCATTGCTGCTTTTAATGTTCTTTCCCTGCATTTTTTCCTAATTCCTGCCTTCTGTTATCACTTTATGTGCATAAAGAAGTATATATGTTTGATGAGATGAAGACTAACACAGCTAAGGTGAGAGGGAGAGCTAAGAAAAATAATTCCAGAGTATTCTACAGGGTGTTGTCTCAGTGAATGGTAGAAGGTAAAAACTGTGTGAGTCATTTTTAATCTCAATATTGATCTTAAAAGGAGAAGCAGGAGGAAGAGTTGCTCACTACGTTACCCCCGCCTACACCCTCCCAGATAAATGCAATTGGTATTGCCATTGACAAAGTGGTACAGGAGTTTGGCTTACACAATGAGAACTTGGAACAGAGACTAGAAATTAAACGTATCATGGAAAATGTGTTCCAACACAAGTTACCAGGTATTTTCTAGATTTGTTTTTCTATTTAGCTACCTAAAAGTACCTCATTCATTTTTCCTACGAGTAGCGATTTTCATCTAACAGAACTTGATTTGCCGTGTCCTGAAGCTCTTAGTTTTTTGTGTGTTTTTGTTTCTCCTGGCTTTTCCCTAAGGTAACAAAGACTTTTACGTGCATTGTCTTTAAACCTGTTTTCACTATGAATTTCATTGTACACAGGTACTTTAAATGCCCCATATTATTGGGGCACTGTGAATCCCTTGTGCATATATTTGTTTACTTTCCTGTCTCTTTAAATTGACATAGTATTTTGAGTTAAGAAGTACATTTGAGTAATTTTCAGGTTAGATGTACCAGAAAAGTTCTGTTTAACCACTTTTCAAAAGAATTGCAACATCTATAATGAGCTCTGAAAACTATTTTGTAATAGATCTTGTGTGCTGTTGGTTAATTTTCCAAGTTTTGCCTGTGGAGCCAGAGAAAACTATTTTGTAGAAAGCTCCACAAGTGATTCTGACCCACAGTGAGAGTTGGAATCGCTATTCAGAATTTATCACCATATCACCCATAGAACTATTTGTTCTACTGAAAAATCATTCATATAGTACATCATTCATGCTTCTGTATACTTTCATAAAAATAAAGGGCAGATATCTGTTCATTTCATCATTTCTGTGTCTCATCCTTTACATTGTAGACAAGTTCCTGAAAAGACATATGTAATTTCAATAATTTTTGCCATAGATTTCCATTGTAAAACTGAATGTACTTTGTCACGGAAGACTGTTAAGACTCAAAGATATCACTTGATTTAACAAACCTTAAAAACGCCACAAAAAAAAAATCCCTTGATGAGAAGGAATAATTTTTTGGCACAATGGTAGTAAACAGTAAAACTTAGCAGGGAAAATGCTGTATGTAAATATAGGCAGGACACACACACACACACACACACACCTTCGTCTGAAGAGCGAATTGCTTATTGCCTAGCATTTTAAGTTAATATCAGTGATATAATTATTTTCAAAAGTTTTCTGAAATAGAGTATATTATGTTAAGGGCTTTTTTGTTCATAATGAGTATTCCTATTGAAAAGTAACCTTATGCTGAAGGTCATTTTTATGGTTATTTTACTGAACATGATCTTTATAGTAAATTACACCTATGCAGGTTTTCTAAAAGGTAAAATGTTTCCGTTAACTCTTTAATATATTATCAAGTTTATAGATCTGAGACAAAGTTATGCAGCCCTTTTTGACTTTCACATTGTAAAAATCATTGCAAATAGTATTTTCTGCACAAAATGAAGAGTAATAATTTAGAAATTTTTTTAGACATGTTTTACACTTGACATGAAAAGCGTGGCTGTTAAGCTAAACCACAGACAGTATAGCCTTCCCTGTTACGTAAAATAAAAATGAAGACAACAGCAGAGAGTCAACGATTCCTTTTAGTTTGTTTATGCCAGACTTAAATACTGTCTTTCTTTCATGTGTAGTTTTAATTGGTGATTCCATTCCTGAAATAGCAGTGTTTTGTTATGACTTTTGAGAAATTTCACTTTATTTATGACTTACTTAATTTTTTTTTCAGATTGTTCTCTGAGATTATATGGGTCATCCTGTAGCAGATTAGGTTTCAGAAATTCAGATGTAAACATCGACATTCAATTTCCAGCCATTGTAAGTACAAAATGAAATGTTGGAATTTTCACAGAGTGGTATGGAAATTCTTTTTTTCAAATATGAGCTATGTATTGATATGTTTTAGATATTTGAAGATAGTGTAAATGTATTGGTGGCAGCTTTTTTTTCCTAAAATTTCAAGTTTTATGCTCTTCTGCCTACCTTAATGGGGCTTTTTAGATTCTGTTATCTTAAGAAGGTTAAATTATCTTGGTAAAGTCAACTTTTCTAACATCAGAAAATTTCAGATTTTAAACCGTGTGTATATGTAAACATTTTTGACCCAAAAGCTCTATTCGCTCCTGAGTTTCCTCTTCTATACATCTACTTCGTTAAAGAATTGTGCTTTTAAAGAACCATACCTAGCCTGGATTTCTGGTTTAGTGTAATTTAAAAAGATGTTGATGATTCAGAATTTTGAACCTGGAAGGCACTTTCATAGATTATCTTTTTATCTGTTGGTGGTTCCCCAGGCCAGGTTGCAGATGGCTTATGCCCATTTGCCTGGGTTGCTAGTTAATAAAGAAGGTTCCTGTGGAGGTTCCTCAAAAAATTAAAAATAGATCTACCCTATGACCTGGCAATGGCACTGCTAAGAATTTACCCAAGAGATATAGGAGTGCTGATGCATAGGGGCACTTGTACCCCAATGTTTATAGCTGCATTTTCAACAATAGCCAAATTATGGAAAGAGCCTAAATGTCCATAAACTGACGAATGGATAAAGAAGGTGTGGTTTATATATACAATGGAATACTACTTGGTAATGAGAAAGAGTGAAATCTGGCCATTTGTAGCAATGTGGATGTAACGAGAGGGTATTAAGCTAAGTGAAGTAAGTCAGGCAGAGAAAGACAGATACCATATGTTTTCACTCATGTGGATCCCCTCCCCAGGGGGGAGGGGAAGTAGGAAAAAAAAGATACAGAGAGGGAGGGAGGCAAACCATAAGAGACTCTGAAATACTGAGAACAAACTGAGGGTTGATGAGGGATGGGGGAGAGGGGAAAGTGGGTGATGGGCATTGAGGAGGGCACCTGTTGGGATGAGCACTGAGTGTTGTATGGAAACCAATTTGACAATAAATTATATTTAATTAAAAAAATAAAAATAAAGGGAAGCACCCTATATGTCTATTTTACAACCACTCCTTTCTTGCCATCCCTAACTGCTATAGCTACATAGTCAACTGACCAATAGATTCTACTCTTCCTTTAACCTTAAATTCTGATGAGTAATTTACCAGTATAGTGGTTATTTTAGTCTCATCATTCATTTAGCAAATATTCACTGAGTCCATGTTGTATGCCAGGAAATATACTAGATTCCAGAGGACAAAACAGGTAGGATTTCTCCCTCATGGAACTCATAGCTGGTGGAGGAGATACGTAATTACATCTATACGGTTGATTGTAATGAGAGCTATGCAGGGGAACAACGTTCTGTGACAGAAAAGAACAAGGGATGTGTAGATCCAGTAGTCATGAAGGTCCCCTTTGAAGTGATAACATTTAAGCTAGGCTCTAAATGATGAATAAGAGTGGAGAAGTGAAAGGGTAAGTGTTTGGGGCAGAGGAAGCAGCGTTTGCAAACACCCTAAATCAGTATGAGTGTGACCTATTCAAGTTGCTGAAGGGATGATTGTATAGCCAAGGTGGAGGGACCAAGAGAAAGAAGCAGCATTAAGGTAGGATAGACTAGAGCCCAACATGCTGCATCTGTGGGCTGTGGGAAAGTTGCACTGTGACCTAAGGGCAATAAGAAGCCATTGAGAGTTTTAAGGAGAGGCATGACTAGGTCTGATTTATGACGTTAAGTGGTTTTGGTTCCTATGCGGAGCAAGGATTGGAGAGAGGCAGGGCTGAAGTAGTCTTCTAGAGGAGAGGTGATATTAACAGTTTCATGTCTTTGAGATTTGCTGTGAGGCTGATTACCTCAGGAATGAGTTAATCAGGAGTTAACTGTGTAACTGGTCTCTTGCCCTCATCTGGTGCTCATCTCTCATGCCTCTTGTGTGCACATAGCATGATTAATTTCTTTACTTGGGTAGCAGTGTGCTTTCTAATTTGGAAAGGTCTTTGGATAACTTCAGATGACTGTGTATTATCTCAGTGAAATAGAAGTATATATGGATTCGTGATGTATTCATTGATTTGTTTCCTAGATGTCTCAGCCAGATGTTCTCTTACTTGTTCAAGAATGTTTAAAGAACAGTGGTAAGGCCAAACTCTTCCCATATTTTGCTCTTAATTGTTTTATTTTCTCTGTAATTTAGATATATCTTATTTGTCAGATGTTGAAAATAGGAAGTCATGTGTCTTTTAATTATTTCTCTGGGTAATATCCAAACAGAAAACCAAAGCAAATGCCCATGAATTATTAGCTAGTTGGGAGTCGTGCTAATTGTTCTACAATGCAAAATAACTGTTTTGTAAGTAAAGTTTTTAGCTTGCTGATAATGTCACAATTTGTAAAGATTGAGTCCTAAACCCAGACTAAAAAGATGCAAAATACGTAAAATTTACTCTTGAGGGCAAAACTAAAGTGTGATCTGCTTTATTCTTTAACTTAATACTTTATAGACGATAAACAGATGTGACCCAACTCTGATTAATAACTCAGCAAACACTTGTTCCCGGTTAGGGTTACTAGTCATCCGGAGTAATGTCCAGCTTAGGACTTTGAGTTTTTAATGCTCTCTGTAGGCCTCATTAAACTGTCTCATCTCAATTAGTCTTTCCCATCCTTCTTGTTTTGGTTGACTGAAACATTTAAACATTTCTTCTTACTTCAGTCAAGATGTATTTTGAGCCCAGATATTTTAGTAGTTTTTGCAGCAATTTTGTTTTCCAGTGTCCTGTCCACATTTCGAATTACCTGATCCACATAACACTTACCTGTCCTGATCCAGTAATGTAGTCGTTTCTAATCAAACGTGAATTTTGCGAAATGAAGGTTTTAAGTTAATGTGATTACTTGATTATTGTACATAATACTGTTCTCCTTTTCAAGTCATCTCAGCTTTGTTTCATAATCATCTTTCAAAAGGCTGAACAGATTAAGTCACAACTTGTACTTTATCTAGTTCTGCTTTTAAACAAAATTTAATTAACCTACTTAATATTTTTTTCTTCTTTCCTCAGAGTCTTTTGTTGATGTTGACGCAGACTTCCATGCTAGGGTACCAGTGGTGGTGTGCAGAGAAAAGCAAAGGTCTCCGTTTCTTTAAGCTGTTTATATATTAAATAGAAACTTGCCAGAAGCACATGTACTTTATTATCTTCATGTCCAGTTTCTAGAATAACAGGCTTCTTATGTGTTTAATTTCACAGGCTCACTATTAGCATTCTCTCTATACTTTTGGCATTTGATGCAGGAGGAAAAGGTGTTTTATTTTAAGAAGAATAGAATTATTTGAAAGGAAGTATAGGGAGGAAGTATCTTGACCCATTTGGTTTCAGTATAAAACAATTTTATCAAATCATTACTTGATCGAGCCACCTTACATTGCCATCCTTTTCAGCAGCATTTTTAGCAGCGCTGAATAACAATTAGTGTGACTTCCCCCGTGTGTCTCTTCCTCCATCTGGAAGCATCATCATCTCGTTAAATGGATGGTTTGTAGGCTGTAATGAGTCTTCATTAGGCAGATTCCTCCAACTCTTGGGAAAACACTCTTTTATTCTTACAAAGATGAATCCATACTCTCATTTGAAACATCTTACAGTATTTTCCTTATTTTCATTTCCCCTCAGAAATAGTTTTAGTATATGAAAATACAAAGTTCTAGTTCTGAAAATAAAATTCGCTCAGAGAATAGCTGCCCTATCTTTTTCTTAATGCAATGGCCTAAATAACCCATAAAGATTTAGTAAGTTTTTAATTTTCATTTTGAAGATCTTTATTATCAGTGTAAATTAGTTGTCAGCGTTTAAAAGATACCTGATACCTGCATAACACTTTTTATCCTTCTCTTTTCCTCTCCCATCCCCACCCTTTACCCCACCAGTGGTCTTCTTTGTAAAGTGAGTGCAGGAAATGAAAATGCTTGTCTGACAACAAACCATTTAACTGCCCTTGGAAAACTTGAATCAAAGCTGGTTCCTTTGGTGATTGCGTTTAGGTACTGGGCAAAGGTAGGTTTGAGTTCTTTAAATGCACAAATACATACTATGTATGCATAAACAGTATGCTTTGATTTTTGCATGGTTAATTTAATCTTAAATGTTTGGATGCATATTTATAGACATGAGGGGAATAGGCATCTGAGTATTGGAACAGAAATTTTAATGTCTACGGAAAGGAAAATTTAGTATTTCTATTTCACTATGACAGTATTGCTCAAAAGATCAAAATGATTTATAGTACTTATTAAAAATCAGATTTATAGGTCAAATCCCAGAGGATATGGTCCAAGAATTTACATTCTAACTAGTTTCCCAAGGTGATTGTTAGGCACAGGAAAGTTTGAGGTAAACCTTCTCATACCATTTCCAATAATGTACCCAGAGACTCCAAAAATGGCAGCCACTCTCTCATCGTGCTTACATTTCTATAATGTTTTAAATATGACATCTCAATATTTATTAAGCATTTAGTATTTCCTTAAAACATAAGGTCCCATCATGATTATAAAATTGAGATTCTGGGTAGGTGCTTTGTAGAGAAAAGCCAAAGCTTTACTAATTAAGATATGACAGTAACAGTAGGTAGTCCCTGTTGCCCCAGTCCGGGATAAACAGGGGACTGCTTTACCCTTAACCGGGTGAGTTGATAATTACAATATGCCATCCTTTGAAAGCTGCTTCCTGGGGCGCCTGGGTGGCGCAGTCGGTTAAGCGTCCGACTTCAGCCAGGTCACGATTTCGCGGTCCGTGAGTTCGAGCCCCGCGTC